GGCCCTAAAGGGAAGATATTGTAACCTGTACCCCATGCAAACCTCAAGTGACATGTATCTTCAGTGAAGTGTGTCAATTTAGCTGGTGATACTTGTCAGCTATGTATTTGATGGAATTAGATATGAGTCTCACACTAATTGTCTCAAAAAATATGGACAGAAGCCAGATCAGTTCATAGTGCTTGATGGGTCATGATAAAGCTTGTTCCAACATGCATTGAATAATCACCTGGGAGGCAACTTCAAGATAATTAAAATAACTTGTCTTGCCAAGTTTAAATAAAATGAAGGGTTGTACTAAAGTTCTAGTTCAGAATATTCGCATGATCACAAATGGGCATTAATTTTAGTCAATAAAAATATAGAAGTATCTGCTGCAACACAAACAACTCAAGATTCACTTGTTGAAACTACTCCCTCCGTTCGGAATTACTTGTCGTAGAAATGGATGTATCTAGATGTATGTTAGTTCTAGATACATCCATATCCGAGACAAGTAATTCGGAACAGAGGGAGTATATCTGAACAAAAATCCAATAATCTGGGCTAAAGTATATCACCAAATAAATACAGTATCCGTCAAGATTCACGGTACTGGTCATCACTTTGAAAAATTAAGTACTACAAAATACATACCTATATTCTAGGTTCATTATACAGATAAAAGGCAACATACAAGACGAGAGGAAAAATAGTGAAGCCGACCTGAACAATACCAACCCTCTGAGTGAGCTCATCAAGTCTCCTCCGAATCACACTTGTGGAGTGCACATTTCCAGATGTATGAAAAAGACAAGTCAAAGGCTCAAAGCTAACAGATCGAAAATTAATATAAGGAATGCATCTATATCATGCGTCATGCATGTGTGAGTAGCTTCTCATAGTGAGTGAAAACCTTGCAGAAATAAAATTATACTCAGTTTGTTCATTGTCACAGAAGAAAATAATTTAGCTAATACTAAATCTAACTAAAAGGAATAATTGTAATTATTTGGCTAGGCTGCTCATTGAAACAAAATTTTCCATAAGAAGCGGACCTTGCAAAAACTTGGAATGAATCGGGTGGATCTAAACCAGCGCATATCTTCATGTCCTCCTGCAGTCCTTCTCCCACCCCTTGTGTATCTCGTCACCTTCACATTGGCCTACAGGTGACTGCCAGCCTGGAGGAAGAAGGCGGCTATCCTGAGTATATGACCAAGTTAGACATTTAGCAACACACGAAAATCAAGTGTAGATCCTACTATAGTTCTTATCCAATTATACACCCAACAAAGACATGCAACTAACTTGGTCATATACTTTAGACATGCAACTCCGCCTTCGTCCATGCAATAAGTGGAGAAGGGGGAGTTTATCACCGTAATAAGTGGAGAAGGCGACGGTTTTTATCTGTCTCCACTTATTGCACTGAAGACATGCAACTCCAACAGTCTTCTGTATTGGCCTTGTTCAATCTCTGCCTCATTTGCACCATGTAATAAAAGGAGTTCGATAACGCAATCTTCCCAGTCAATACCATCACACGGGTCTCTTTTACGTTTCTTCTTCTCAGAGTCAGGAGCGTCTGACATCTCCGCTGGATGATCTCCATACATGATATGATGATCCCTGCCATCTCGTCTCTTTCGACCCAGCTTCTTCCTGCTATTTTTTTGTGGTGGACAAGCATCTTCATTTCCATGAACAGCCAGTGAATCAATTGCATTTGCAGTGCCTGCAGCAGGAGCCTTCCTAATTGCAGCGATTCGACACTTAGCAGCTTCAATTCGTGCTCTCCTCCGCTTCTGCAGATCCAGCAATAAACGACGGAGGAGGTGCATCATAGCCAATGTCAATATCTGCTACCTCCTCAAGCGGCATGCGCTTGGTCCGATGATCATCCAGCGAATCCATCCATGGTTCCAGCTCCAGCCCTATCCTCCGCTGCTTCCTCCTGCTAGCAACTTTCCCAACCTTCCCAAGTTCCTTTAGCTTAGAGAGCCTCTTTAAGACATTCTGGTAAGCATCTGACAAGCAATCCTCTGAGATCTTCAAATCCCCTGATTCCTTGCCCTCTTTCCCAGAATTCTTGAAATCCAAAGCATCAACATCCAGGGGAACAATCTGGAGGTACTTGGACTCGTCCTCATCAACAGATGAGTACACCTGCACAATGCCGGCGATGTCCGGAGCAAAGCTCTCAAGAAACAGTTCCGAGGGGTCGGACTGTGACCGCATCTCCATGAGCCAGAGCAGCATTGGGGCGTTCAGGAGCAGGTTTCTGGCATTGACGTCGGCACCCCAAGGAAGCAACTTCTGCGCGACATGCACCAGCGCTTTAACGAGCTCCTTGTATCGGAGACGGCTGGTGTGCACGACCGCCGACATCTCCTGGGCAATGTCTTCCACAGAAACCTCAGCGACCCCGTTCAGCTCTGCGGCGAAAGCAATCAGGCCGGCGAGAAGTGGGAGTGGGTGCCGCCCGGTGGTGAGCGACCACTTGAAGGAGCAGCGGAGGAGAAATCTGGCTTGGGAGAGAATCGCTCTCGTCTTCTCATCTCCCGCAGCGGTGGTGAGCTTGTACGAGCCGAGCACGGCGCGTTCGAGCGCAGCCTGGTAGTCGAAGGAGGGGAGGGGGGGAAGGGAGAGGTGGGAGGCGATGCGGGATACGAGGTCACCGAGCGCGACCGTGGTGCAGGACGCGGCCTCGGCGGCCTCGGCGAGGGAGAGAGGGAGGCGGTGAGATCGCGCGACGAGGAAGGAGCAGGCGGCGGCGAGGGCCGGGAGGAAGGTGGTGCCGGCGGTGGCGAGGTTCCCGGCGGTGGCGGATTTGGCCATGCTGAGGATCTCCTCGGCGCGGGTGGGCGAGAGGCCGAGTTGGACGGCCATGGAGGTGATGACGTTGGAGGCGGCGGCAAGCTTGAGCTCGCGGTAGGGGGACTGGGAGAGGTGGCGGACGAGGGAGGCGGCGCGGAAATCAACCTGGCCGTCCTCGGTGAAGGCGGTCGGATTGTAGAACTCGGAGGCGCCGGCGTCGTGTTGGAGGCCGCAGGAGGTGCAGACGAGCGCGCCCGAGCCCGGGTCCGGCGACACCGAGCCCTCGCCGCACGACCAGCACCTAGAACCCATCGCGCGGGCGGTCGGCGGCCGGCGCGGCAGGGAGGGCGCAGATGCTGTTACGAACCTGGCTACTTCTCAATCAGACAAAAGGAAGTGCTGCCCTCTCAACTGGTTCACGGGCGAACGAGGACGGCGGCGGCGCTGGACCAGGCCGGCAGCGACGGCGCTTGACGAGGGTGCGGCGGCGGACTTTGACGAGGGCGCGGCGGCGGCGTCGCTTGACAAGGGCGCGGCGGTGGTGGCGCTTGAGGAGGGTGCGGCGATGGGGCTTGACGAGGGCGCGGGGGCGGCGGAGTTGACGAGGGCACGGCGGCGCTTGGTGGAACGAGCCTGTACGAGAGCTACGGCGATCCCTATTTGACGCTCGCGAGCGTCCAGGTGCTGCGCTGGAGCGAGCACCACAAAACGGGTCGGCCCACTTCGAGCTTTAGAGCAGTTCCAGGCAAACCGGTTTTGGGAACCTTCTAGAAGGTTCTCTCAACCGGTTTTTCCTGGTTTTTTGTTTTTCCGGTTTTTTAGTTTGCCCTGTTTTCTTTTTTCTTCCTTTTTCTGTTTCTGTTTCTATTTTTTCCTTTCCTTTCATTTATCATTTTTCTTTTTTACTTTTATCCTTTGTTTTCATTTTTTAATTCCTATTTTTTTCATGATTTGGAGAATTGTTCAAAGTTTTCAAATTTGGTTCAGTTTTTTACGATTTATTCACAATTCAAAAATTGTTCATCGTATATCACCAAAAATGTTCAATGTGTATTTAACTTTTGTTTAGTGTATATATCATAAAATTGTTCAATGTGTACTTAAAATTGTTCAGCGTATATTACTCAAAATGCTCAATGTATATATCACAAAAATCTTCAGTGCATTTTAAATATTGTTCAATGCATATCACAAAAATGTTTAATGTGCAGTGACAATTTTTTCTTCGTATATTGCAGAATGTTCAATATATATTTAATTTTTATCAAACATAAAAAAAAATGTTTGGAATTTCATAATTGTATTCATGTTTTAAATAATTGTTCACGTTTAAAAAATATTTTTTAGAAGTTTCTTTGAGTTATGAAATTTGTTCAAGAAAACATTATTCAATTCTTTTAAGGAAGATTCAAAAACAGATCTGCCCGTGCACACAGTACTTCAAGTTTGGCGCTGTAATTTAACACAAACCAGTCCCTAGTTGCAGCGGCTGGCACCACATTTATTTAGCGTTAGTTCCAGGGTTCGACTCCATCCTACGATGGCAATTTCCTGTACCAGATGTGCCCCGCGTTGAGATCAATCTCGTGGTCGAAGGAGAGCACGGAGTAAGCGCACCTCGAGGAGAGCATGGAGCCATAAGTATTTTATTTTATCAAAATGGAAGTAATGATAACCCTAATTGTGGTGTAATTATTTTATCAAAATGGTCTAGCCTCTTGCTAGGAATCAATCCTATTTAATCATAGCGTAACATAGGAAATTTGACATGTTCATTTTTTTAAACCAAAAGGACCCTACAAGCAAATTTCCCGTAGATCGGACTAAGAGGTTGATGGACATTTATAACGTTTTGCACACCAACCTGAACACTACCATCTCCTTTTATTCCGACCGGTCTGATCTAAGGTAACATGCGGAAAATGTTGCTTTCACTAGAGGAGATGCTACCTTTCCAGTTTATTAATAGACTAGGGCACAGATGGCTAAACATGTCAAAAAGGAATGAACAATGCATACATGAGAATCAACACATCTCTTATTATATGTACTCAGCAGCAGCGTCGCAATTTGGGTACAAATGATCGACACATAGAGAATTTCCTGAAGATGATGGCTGCACTCTGCAGATATCTCAACACGGCAACACCTTATCCCCAAGATGCAGCACGACGTTTCACTGGCAGTCCTCCAGCACCAAACTAGCCAAAGTTTATTCCCTGTGCTAGAGGCAGCTCGCTTCCATAGTTGATTGTACTGCAAATATTTGTAACCAACATCAGTAAATGAAAACAAATGCAGAACCTTGATACATGAGCTTTAGCATACTGGACAGCTGAGGTCAAACTATAACAAAAAAGCAATAGTAACCAATCGGTTTCACTTGTTTCTGTCCAAAATACAAATAAAAAATGAATTTACATTGTCAAATCAATGAGAAGCTTGGTAAAAGTCCCATTTCAGAATCGAAATAAGACAAGGTTGCTGGTGGTAGCTAACAGTCACTAGCGCTTGGTTATGTAAAAATATTTTCCCTAGTAACAAGATAGGAACTTCAGTTTTACACTTTTACGGGCTTGCACAAGCTCCACAGGAAGAGAACAATAATAACTATTACCTCTGTTTCAAAATATAAGATGTTTTGTACTAGAGTCACAATGATGAATGATGTTCCTATGTTTGTGTCCACTATGCTCCAACAAGGCATAATATGCTTGTTATAACAAACTAGAATCTCATGCAACTTTGTTAGCCTAGAACTTGGGAACTGATGGCAATCAGCATGTGCATTCACTAGAGGCTTGGTTGCATTATTCTAGCATAGAGTTGGTCCAAGGCAAGCAAAAGTAAGTATGGTTGTATCATATCCATCTCTGTTGTAGAGTGATCTACAGCTTGTACTGCTTCCAGGAAAGATATGCGTACTTACCAAGTGGCCCTCCTCATGTACTGCTTCCAGGAATCACTTCCCGCTTCTCGTCCACCACCGGTTGCTTTTTCTCCACCAAAAGCTCCACCAATTTCAGCACCATTAGTGGGTATATTTACGTTCACTATACCACAATCACTACCATGAGGCCTGCATAGCAAGGAGAATAAGAACAATCACTACTAGTCTATACGTGCAAACAGATGTAAGGTGGATCAATTGTTTTAAAATATGAGTTACGAAAGATATACTTCTAGCACATATAGCTCCAATAGAGTTATGAACATGAATGATCAACTAAAAAAGACAAGAGTGCAGTCATACCAATTGAGTATCATGAAATTGAATAGATGACTCTTGAAGTGTCAGTGAACATGAATAATCAGAAAATAATGCGTCGTGTATATATAATATACTGAAAATGCTAAAAACCTAGTTGAATCTTAATCATGGTTTGATTTGATAGACAGAAAAATGGTGAACACAAAGTATCCAGCGTTACACCATTAGAAAACAAAAATCAGCATCCTTCAGTGCACCAAAGGTAAGATCAGAGTGCAGTCATACCAACTGTCAGCATGGACATCTAGATGTCTAGATGATGCTAAAGAACTAACAGTACAGCTCTCTAGGTTATGGAACCAAAGCTTACCCGATCCACTTGAAAATAGCATCTGGTTTCCTTGTAAATATAGAACTGCTCAATCCTTGAGGAACAGAATTGTTGATTTCAATTGCTTCCTTCAGGGTCTACAGGATAATTGATAACCAGGACATGTATGCTTATGACAATAGTATAAAACAAGGGCATACGATCGATGCCATATAGAGCAGGTGAATAACACACAAATCTGGATTGTTAACTACCTGAAATTTCATGGCATAAAGGACAGGACCAAACAATTCTTCCCTCACAACTGGCGCAGAAGGTGAAATTTCCACAATTGTTGGTTGAACAAAGTTCCCTTCTGATTCAATAGCAGATCCTCCTAGAAGGATTTTTCCTCCCTGAATGATTTAGCATGCAGTCAAATTAGATTATTAGAACTTCATGTTAAATAATAAATGATCTTTTCTACTACTCCGTCCCATAATGTAAGACGCTTTTTAACACTAGTATAGTGTCAAAAAACGTCTTACATTATGGGACGGAGGGAGTAATAGATTTTGCTACTGAGAGATTAATAATACTGTAGAAACACTGTTGCTGCACCAATAAGAACTATATAAATTTTCACCTGGGATCTGATATTTTGGATGCCTTTCAAAAAGCTTTCTTTAGATGCAGTAGTGTGCAGTGGTCCCAGCAAGGTGCCCTTTTCCATAGGGTCCCCGATACGGACTTGTTTGTAAACCTCAACAAGTTGATCAAGAAATGTTTGATATATGCTTTCATGAAGAAGCTGTATTGAGAGTTGTCAAAAAGAAGAAACTGTATTAAGAAAATGCACTTAGACCACTCAAATAACTACCATGGGACAAATAAAGAAATGTTGTTTTTATCATACCAGCCTACGACATGTAGTGCATCGTTGTCCTGCTGTGCCAACAGCAGCAAACAAAACAGACCGCACAGCTAGTGGAATGTCTGCATCATCCATGACAATAATGGCATTGTTCCCACTAAGTTCAAGAAGGCATTTACCAAATCTCGCGCTAACCTGTTGCTGAACCATTTGACCAACCTGCATTGAATAATCATTGTTTCAAATAATACATAGCAAGTGCTCCAAGGGCTTCCAACAGGAAAATGGACTTCAAACAGCATACACAAAATACCAGTGCAGGAAATCTACTGAGATTGCAAGATCAAAATGGATTTACATCAGGGCATTCTGATACTGCCTTCCATACCAGCAGCAAAATCTAGGAAACAAGATGTAGAGGTCTACAGATGTTCAATACCTTTGTACTTCCTGTGAATGAAACCAAAGGTATCCTTGTGTCAAGAGCAATTGCTTGGCCAATTTCAGCACCCCCACAAAAAGCTGTGAAGATTGCACTTGGCAAGTTGTTCTTCTCAAATACACTAGCCACTATTTTAGTCATTGCAATAGTGATCAATGGAGTAGTTGGAGCACCCTTCCTGTAATAATTGGAACATAATTACACAAAAAAACTGTGCCAGTCTTTGTGATATTGACAGAACATGCTAGCACTGAAAGAAAATAAAACCAAGATCTGCGATGTACTGAACAAACAAACAATATTCAGTTTAGCATTTTTTTAGCGTTCTTGCATCAGCATATCATTAATCTATTGATAAACATACTGAAGAACCCAGATTCACCCTTTTTCTGCCAATTATAACTATTTATCTTTCAGCCCCTCTGCCAATTTTTTCCTACATCCACAACAAACCTATAAGCATGTCACAAGTTGCATTTGCCACAAATAACGTGATCAGTTTATCCAGAGCAAGACTATGTTTCCATTCTATGAAGCAGACAACTAGGACAAGTCACAACAATGAATGCAAGAGGATACTGGATACATGCCAAGGTAGCATGGGCTTCTACTGATGTTTTACATATAACAAACTATATAAAGTTAAGATAAATTCAAAAGATACAACACCTGACATCATGTAAGCCAAGTAAATCAGTTATCAACATGAATGAGGAACAGTATTAAAAGTACACTATTCTTACCAGACAACACAGTTGCCGCAGACCAAAGCAATGCAAGCATTCCAACCTAAAACATCACAAAAAGAAGACTTAACCATAATTTCCTGGCAGTATTAAACAAATTAAGTGAAACTGACATAGTAAAGGTTGAGAGCAACATAACGTTTGAAAATGTGTAATAAGTACGACCTACATGAATTGTTTATAGCAGTATAGTAAACAGGTAAATTGTCACATTGAAGATTAGAACAATAACCATTAGCGGGTGCAGGTACAAGATGAATTGTACAAGTTAACTTTCAATTGTTGAACTCTCGTCGGCTATACATTCTAGACAACAAGAGCATGTAATCACCACGTGTAATTACAGTAAACTACATGGATTAACATTGTAGTCACATTCCAAAAGGGTGCAATACAAGAATTATCTAAATGGTCAGCTTACCGAGCACGGCGCAAGGGAAATTGAATGCTGTGATGACACCAACAACTCCAAGAGGATTCCAGACCTATTCGGATAAGGATTAATCATTAGCATGTTCAATGATGGTACCTGAGAATGTGATACTGGTTTCACTTACCTCCATCATCATATGGTTTGGGCCTGCAAAGAATACAGAAGGCAGCATTAGCAAACTTTCAATGTTCTTTTCAAACTGTGTGCACTGGTGCATTTACAGTATATATTGGCAAAGAAAGATTTCTCTAAATAGACAACCCAACCAGTACACAAGCTTTTCTATAAAAGATCAGAGGCAATGCTGAAAATTTGTCAGGTTTCTCTAAAACCTTGTCCAATGGAGTGAATCACTGAATATTTTACCATAATCCTTTACTGTGTGAATATCATACAGAATGTAATGCAACATGTCAGGGCACATAAGCTTGTACAAAACAGCAATCCAGATTAACAAGTCCATCACTCACTGATTCCAGCTGAAATACTTTTTTCCCATCCGACAACTTAGGCAGATACATTATTAGAGATATAGTACGAAATACAAAAATCCTTTAATTTCTCTCATCCAGTTGCAACCAATATGGTCAAAAAAGGGCACATCTCATTACTGATGATGTTGCATCCTGGCTTTAAACCTATCATCAGAATATGATATGATGAAAAGAAAATGGTCTTACGTTCAGATGGTATGATGGATCCATTTAGCTGACGACTTAGCCCCACGGCATAATCACACATGTCAATAATTTCCTGCAAAAATTGTTGGGTTGATGACATAATGTGCAGAGTGGGAAATCAACAGCTATGTTTTCAAGGCGTCGCCTAGGCGTCGCCTAGGCGACGCTTAGGCGTCAGAGCGCTCGGGGACGTCAAGGCGTCGTCGTCGCCTTAGTTTTCTGTCTAAGGCGTCCGCCTTCTGCTGTTGAGGCGTCCAAGGCGTCGCCTAGGCGGATAAGGCGCCGCTTTAGTTGATTTTGGACGCCCTGGACATGCGTGGGCAGGTTGAGCGGGAACCAGCAGCTGGCGCGCGCCAGAAAGAGGAATTGGCGGGAGGGAAGAGAAATTGGGCGGGAGAGAGGGGGTAAACAGAGGCAGGAGAGAGAGGGGAACACACCCGTGACTCCAAATCGAGGGGAAAAGAGAGAGGAGCTCTCTCCTCTCACGCCGCCGGCCTCCCCCTGTCCGGCCAAGCTCCTCCTCCACAGGCCCTTCCCCTCTCCGGCCAAGATCCATCTCCGCCGGTCCTCCCCCTCTCCAGCCAAGCTCCTCCGCCATATTAGTACCCCTACCGCCTAATAATAAGTGTCTAAGGCGTCGCCTCGCCTCGCGCTTTGAGCGCCTAGGCGTTGAGGCGCCCCCCCAGCGCCTTAAAGCGCCTGGGCGCCTTGAAAACATAGATCAACAGTACATCGCATTTATGCTAATGTGACCATTCACTGTCTCAATTAGAAGATACAACCTTAGGGAACATAGTGTGTTGGCAGTTTGGCACAAGGTTGATTAATCTAGAGACGAAGAAAGATAGCAACAAGAAACCAATCCTTGTTCCGATACTGCTTCATATCATGGGCATGTCGTACTAATTGGCTAGGTTGCCTTTTTCAGCAGACAATGCAATGGTACCATAATGATAATGCAGTTGTTAGGGAGTAATAAGTAACTATTTTCCTAAACAGGAACATAAACATGTGTTCTGAAACAGAGTCATCTGAGGCTTCTATTGATGGCCTAGCAGCAATTATGCTCCAACCTGAACCTCGTTAGGAATTGAGCCTAGCTCCGATAGTAGGAGGTGTGGGTGGTTCTTACTTCCTACGTATCTGAAACCCCCCACCACCTTGTTTCAAGAACTCTCTATCTTAAATTTGTGCGCCTAATTCCAAGGTATTCATCTTTTTTTACCTGAACCTCCCCAATTCCTTCAGGGAGAATTTTCCCCATTTCAAGTGACAGAAGTCTGCCAAGGTGATGAAGCTTTGCTCTCAGTGCATCACCAATCTGCCTAACAATTTCTCCTCGTTTTGGAGCCGGAATCTGGACATGTTGGTATATCGTATAAGTACAAATTTATTAACATAATAATATCACTGAATTACTTGATAGACAAGACAAAAACAAAAACAAAAAAGTCAGAAATGCTCCATGAAAGTATGGGACTTCACATGGTCACAGCACTGCTAACCTTTAGTACATAAGTAGGCATTTAGTAAAACAGTGATAAATCCAAACAATTGGATGGCCTCTGAAATAGCAGTGTGAAATCAAATGGCATACTCTATTGTCTTAGCATTTTAGTAGTGACACTTGATTAGCTCGCAAATTCGCATATTATGCTGCATTCTCCTGTTCTCGAGTCAACAGGGAAAGCGCAGCAACAGCATAGTACTATCACATCATCATGGGGGCCAAATTGCTGCGAAGCTAGAGGGCATTTCGATCCGTGGAACTTACAGCCATCCATGTCTTGGCGGCGTCGAAGCAGGCGCTCATGCCCTTCTCGTAGTCGTCCATGGACGCCTCAACGACCTCAGCAATGACCTGAAAAACAAACCCACAAAAAATCCCTCAAAATCCGCCAAGAGCGCGTCCGGGGTCCCCAAAATCCAGACGAAATCGAGCGGATCGGAGAGGCACCTCGTTGTTGCTAGGGTTGGTGGTGGTGACGACGGGGCCCGAGCCGCCCCAGGCGCCGCAGGCGAAGGAGCCCGGGTTGCGCGGCGCGAGGCCGAGCTCGGCGAGGAACTGGTGCTCCTGCCTCGCGAAGCTCGCCATGGCGGGCGGGTTGATTCTGGAAGGTGGGCTCTGGCTCTGGCTGCTTCGCCGTACGAAGCGAGGGGATTGCGGAAGGGGAGGAGTGAGGACGGGACGAGGAAGGGCGGCGATGAGGAAATTTATAGGTGGGAGGTGGAGTGGAGACTGTGAACTGCTCCGGGAGGGAGCGTGGTGGGTGGGGCGGTCCGGCACGGGACGGCGGAACGGGACGAGACGAAAGGAAACCGAGAGCGTGAGGTTGATCACTGAAGACGAAAAGGTTTTTAACTTTTCAGCTTTGCACGTCAACAAGTTTTTTTCTCCCTTGTTAGAATAAAAAAGGATTCCACTAAAAGAAATAAAAAAAAGTGTTGGTATTCAATCCTTATTTTTTTTGAGACAATATTCAATCCTTATATGACCTTGTAAGAAATGAATTAGGCTAAGCGCTTGCGCCGATAATATAAAACCAATATGAAGAAAATTATGGGGTAGAAAGAAATAGGAAATACTTCCAATCTATTCATTTTCAATCATGGTAGTACAACGAACACTAAAAATAATAAAAATTGCATCCAGATCCGTTGACCACCTAGCGACGACTACAAGCACTGAAGCGAGTCATATGCTACAAAAGATATATCATTGGATTTGTACTCAAAAGATATATGATTAATAAAATATGAGCGGAAGGTGGAAGTAGCAAGCAAGTGTGATGGTCTACAAGATAACCACCGCGCATCGGAGCGCGCAAAGAATGGCTCATCTTTCCATCGCAACTTCTGTTAGTATAGTGTTCTTCGGAAAGTGATTTGCCCAAGCTTTATCGAGGGAACCACCATCCACGTGTGTGAAAACCCAGCACTGCTCCGTAGGATATCATGGATCGATCCCTGTCACATGCCACGAAGCCAATAGGAGTAGTACTAGGCAGGTTCGAAAACGACAGGTGACTCATCAGTGTGATCACAGCTCACAAGCAACGGCGTGTACTCCGGCTTTTGCTGGTACTGTTTGTCCGTCGCCTTCCGTGATCCGTGCTTAGCTTGGCCTCTCTCAAGATAGGAAGGAACGCACGGGCTCCACGTCGGAGAGACGTCTCCGGCCGCCTCTCTGAGCAGTGAGCGCCTCAAAGATAAATTAATCTTCTCTCCTCTGGAAACGATCCTTCTCTCTTTCGTTTTGAAAAATGAAAAAGAATATGGTCTTGTTTCAAAAAAAGAAAAAGAATATGGTCTGAGAACAAGTGAGACAGTATAATAACTATCTAAAGCTTGAAGTTCTGCGCAGATCGAAGCATGGAAAACACGCTGCAACTGTCATATTATTCTTAGTTCGGGCGAGTGGGGAAAAAGGCAGAATCCACACTCCATACTAGTGTATACAGACAGCCAGTCCACAATCCCTTCATGCGTTCTCTTTTTTTTTAATGTTCCTTTTTCTGTTGTTGCTGACGGAAATATGAATTGCCAGTTTTCTATGCGCTAACAAGTGGGCCGGTTCAGTGCCGAGGTGTTTCCAATGCTGGGCCTGAAATTTGCAGCTTGCAAGCAAAATCACTAATTAGTTAAGGAGTATTTATTTCAAAGATCACTTCCATTTTGTCATGTTGCGACAAGTGATGCACTACATGTGCGTCACTTCTCGCAATCTGTGAGTTTTTTCGTATATTCATTTATTCAAAACGTTTTACCTGTTAAACCGTGCGTCCAAATCTCCAACCGTGTCATCATTGGATTCATCGCCTTGAGATCTTCAAAATTAGATCACATGTTGATAGGTTTCAGCGAACTTTCTTTTTCATGAAAAAACACGAATTGCAAGCACGTTTTTCCCTTTCCGAAGAGTCACATAATTTTTCCCTTTCCTGGAGGCACAGTCATGCCTCTCGCGGAAGCAAATCCATGCCTCCACGAGAATTAAATTTGTGCCTCTCGCAGAACAAAAAACACATTTTCTTTTCTTTTCGAGAGGCATGATCGTGCCTCTCGCGGAAGCAAATACGCGCCTCCACGAGCAGTAAATCACATCTCTCCCGGAATGAAAAAAAAGAAACTTGTTTTTTTCTTTTCCAGGAGGCACGGCGGTGCATCTCGCGGAACGAAAAAAAACCTTTTTTTCTTTCTCTTTTCCAAGAGGCATGACCGTGCCTCTCGCGGAAGCAAATTTGTGCCTCATGCAGAAGGGGGAAATGCATTTTTCATGAAAAACATTGATTTTTTTGTCCAAATCCTAAGAAAAATCAGGGCAAATAGAAAAGCCAAAAATGCGTACAGAAAAATAAAACAAATACAAAATCAGGAGGGAACGTCCAGAGCGCAACACGTGGCGGCGGCTGAGAGCGCGTCAAGTGGCGCATTCCCAGTCCACCTCCAATGACCCTTGGGGAGGCTCTCGAAGGAGTACTCCTCGGTTAATTGCTCGCTATTTCAGGCTTTAGGTGGCTAACTGCCCTTTTTATGCGAGCTGGGCCGGCCCATGGTGACGCCTTTTCCGGTAGATATTAAGACTACGGGAGTCGTACAGAGGGCAATCCTATTTAGCGCGCCGGCCACTCATTAGTGACCACGCGCACCCCATAGCTCCCACTGAGGGAGTCCTGGATAAGGGGGTATCCAGACGGCCGGACTATATACTTTGGCCGGACTGTTTGACTATGAAGGTACAAGACAGAAGACTTCGTCCCGTGTTCGGATGGGACTCTCCTTGGCGTGGAAGGCAAGCTTGGCGATTCGGATGTAGATCTCCTTCTTTGTAAACTGACTCTGTGTAACCCTAGCCCCCTCCGGTGTCTATATAAACCGGAGGGTTTAGTCCATAGGACACATCAACAATCATACCATAGGCTAGCTTCTAGGGTTTAGCCTCTTTGATCTCGTGGTAGATCAACTCTTGTAATACTCATATCATCAAGATCAATCAAGCAGAAAGTAGGGTATTACCTCCATCGAGAGGGCCCGAACCTGGGTAAACATCGTATCCCCAGTCTCCTGTTACCATTAGCCTTAGACGCACAGTTCGGGACCCCCTACCCGAGATCCGCCGGTTTTGACACCGACATTGGTGCTTTTATTGAGAGTTCCTCTGTGTCGTCACTACAAGGTTAGATGGCTTCTCCAACCTTCAACCACGCTGTCCGGGGCGAGATTTTTCTCCCCGGACAGATCTTCGTGTTCGGCGGCTTCGCACTGCGGGCCAATTCGCTTAGCCATCTGGAGCAGATCGATAGCTTCGCCCCTGGCCATCAGGCCAGGTTTGGAAACCTAAACTACACTGCCAACATCCGCGGAGACTTGATCTTCGACGAATTCGGGCCCGTGTCAGGAGCGCCGAACAATCACGACGAGCATGACCTAAATCTGCAGTCGGACTGTATTCGGAATATCGCACCTGCCACCTCTCCGGACTTTGTTCCAGAGCAGGTCGTGCCCTTCGAGGACGGGTGGATGGACCCCGCCCTGAAGGCCGCATCCTCATCGGTGTTGGAGCCAAACATAGACTCCTCTCCTCAGGAAATCTGTACCTCCGGACCCCAGACTCATCTCCGGTAGTGTGTTCCGGACCGCGCGCGTCCGTGCCCATCGAATCTAATTGGGCTCTAGTCATGGAGTTCGCCGCCGCGGATATCTTTCAACACTCACCCTTCGGAGACGTGCTGAATCCATTAAGGTCTCTCTCTTTGTTAGGAGACTCCTGGCCGAACTATGTCCGACTCGAGTGGGAAGCTGGCGACGAAGAAATTTGTTACCCACCCACCACCCACTTAATAGCCACGGTCGACGACTTAACCGACGGGCTCAACTTCGATTATGAAGACATCGACGATATAGACGACGATGCGAGAGAAGAACAGGAACCACCGCCCACAGGGCGCTGGGCTGCCACCTCTTCATATGATATATATACGGTGGATACTCCCAAAGAAACCAACGGCGATGAGGCAACGGGAGATAACTCCTCGGGGAAGAAAGCAAAACATGAGCGTCATCGGCGCCACTCCAAGCCTCGTCACAACAATACCGACACTGGAGGAGAAAATCCAGATGGCGCCGAAGAGGAATATGATCCTGATCAACCAACCTTCGAGCAAGCCGACCAAGATCTGCTCATAGACCGATGGACTAAGGACCAGGCAGCCAAAGAGTACGGACTCGAGCGTCGAACAAAATACTACCCAAAGCGCAGGCTACTACCTCAATTCGAAGAGGTGGCACCAAAAATCAAACGCAGGCCTACACCCTGCCGACAGCACACTGCGACAAGGGGCTGCGCACAAGACCGGCATTATATACCAAACAGGCAACATGGCAAGCACCCCAGACGCATCAGCGGATAGAAACAGAGTCTACAAACCTTGGTGCAACAAATATAAGCGTCCCAAGACAAATAATGGCGCCCGGGGAACGACAATCAACACAAGAGCCCGTAATCCTCAAACCGTTGAGAGGGAGAAGAGACTTCAACATCTTGGGCCCCTCCAGCTTGAACCGCATACTTGATCGACCATGTCAAATCCATGGTACCCCAGGAACGGCAGCCAATCATACAAATAGAGAATGCTGGGTCTTTAAACAAATCGGCAGGCCGGCACCGGAAGGAGCGTGAAGAAGCCCGGATTATCAAGTCTAGGGACCAATAACTCGAGGATCAGACTCACCAAATAACTCATTATAGAGTATGATAAATAGGCATGACGGCCATCCAGGCCCCGCCACTCCGGAGCTGGTCTCCGGATAGCCAAAAGTGTCATACCAACTTTCGGTCTAACACCCCAAGGCAGGAGTTACCCAGCACTGCCAGGATACACTTCGTCTCAACGCATTACCACCCAAGACCCATGTGACAAAGTCACAAATGCGGCAAGACCGAGCTTCGCCTCGGCGCCAAAGAATATTCGGCTACTTTGATCACTGAAGCAGCGAGTCATGGTTTCTTAAATCGAACCTAAATTCGACAGCCGAACTCCCGGACACCGACAAGGGAGTCCGGACTACTTTAGGATACCCCAACCTAATCATAGA